CTCTTGTCATATCTTTTATTTTCTTTATTTCTATTTCTATTCTTATCAATAAACATCTTACTTGAAAATATAATTACCAGATACTTCGTGAATTATTGACTGTGAAATACTCGTATAAACCCCGACTCGAAACCTTTACTTGGATTTAGCCGTGATAATAAACTTGTAAAAGCCTTGAGATTACTGCGCCAATTAAAAAGAAACAACACTTGGACACCCCGTCTAACAGTTGTAGTTCGCAAGAATTACACGTTAACAATATTTAATTTGATTCAATCAAATTCAAATCAATTATTCAAATACTTAATTTGATTTAAATCAATAGTAAAGCTATCTCTAAAACTTCAGGTGTAGCTCTTACTAAAAAAACTATAGTAAAATGTATCTCTACAGCTTTTAAAATGCCCTTTTTACTAGCAATAAATGTCTTTGCAGCTTCAGAAAGATTATTTTACTAAAAAAATATAATAAAAAATGCCTTCGTAGCTTTAGAGATGTTATTTTACTAAGAAAACATAGTAAAAAATGCCTCTGCAGCTTTAGAAACGCTATTTTACTAAGAAAACATAGTAAAAAATGCTTTTACAGCGTCAAAAATATTTTTTTCTAAGAGATCTAGTAAAAAATGTGTCTACAACTTCAAAAACTTTTTTTACTAATAAAATTATTACAAAGCTAAAATAGCAATTATTACTAAGTTTTTTTTAGTAAAACTGAAGCTACAATAGCAGTTATTACTAAGTTTTTTAGTAAACTAAAACCGCAATAGCAGTTATTATTAAGTTTTCTTAGTAAAATCAAAGTCGTGATAGCAGTTATTACTAAATTTTCTTAGTAAACTAAAGTTGCAATGATGGTTATTACTAAGTTTTCTTAGTAAAACTAAAGCTATGATGGCAGTTATTACTAAGTTTTCTTATTAAACCAAAGTCGCAATAATGGTTATTACTAAGTTTTCTTAGTAAACCAAAACTACGATGATGGTTATTACTAAGTTTTCTTAGTAAACCAAAGGCATAATGGTGGTTAGTACTAAGTTTAATAATAAAATTTCACCTGTTACTAAACTTATTTTGTAAAAGCTATTTTTGAAATTTTTTAGTACAATTACTAATAATTTTCTTAATTAAAACTTTAAATTACTTTATTTTAATATATTATTGTAAAAATTAAAAAATTTTTTATATTTGATTTGATTTGATCTGATTTGATTTAATTTAATTTAATTTGACAAATATTTGATTCAATCTAATTTGATTCGATCAAATTCAAATTGATTCAAATTGATTTAATTAAACATTTGAGTTCAAATTGATTCAATCAAATATTTGAGTTCAATTTGATTCAATTTGATTCAATTTGAAAAAATCAAATCAAATTAAAATTGCTTACAATATTTGATTCGATTCAATTTTGAGGAACCCTAAATAAATATTATATTTAAGATGTTACTCATTATGCAAAAAAAAAAAATATGAAAACAAACAAAAAACCAATAGAAATGTTTTACAACTAAGAACAATTGCTTTAACAATTTTAAATATTAATAGCAAAAAAGAATTAATGGAAAATTTAATTTATACTTTTACTGTTACTGACATATTCTTAGAAAAAGTGAATTTCTTTCTTCCTTTTTTTCAAAAACATATAAAATAAGGAGATTTATTTCTCAAGCATTCACTTTATGTCAAATATACTTATCTCAAAATTTTGAAAAACATTTAGATCAAATTAAACTTTTATTTGAGAATAAATTCGTAGCAATTACTATAGATGAAATTACAGATAATTATGATCATAGTATAATAAATACATTTTTTTATTTTCAAAAAAAAATATAAAATTAGTTTCTGTAGATTTTTTGATTCAAGTCAATAATTTAACGGTAGATCTATTCTTTTTACAATTTTAGCAAAATACAATATTTCTTTTTCTCTTTCCCAGCTCTTTCTTTCAGATTCGGCTGCTTATATGAAAAATGTTTTTGTAAAATATTATATTTTGTTATACCTCAATTGATTTATGTACATATATATATTAAATTTAATTGGGTAAGTAAAAAATTTTATTATATAATTTTTATAATTTTTATTATATCAAATATTAATATGATATAAATTAAATTTTATATTAAAACATGATGAAACTTTGATACTAATTTCTTTAAAATTTAAAGAATTTTTAGCTAAAGTGAAAGAATGTTTTGTTTATAATCTAGCAAGAAGATGTAGATATTTAATACATCTATATTTATATAGTATATCTTTTTCTTGTAAAATTCTTCTTCCTGTTTCTACATGTTGGAATTCATAATTTAAAATGTTTAATTATACTAAAACATATTTACCATATTGGAAATCCTTTTTTCAAAATAAATTAGCTAATGATCCAACAAATATAACTCTTCAAAAATTTGACAAACTCTTTCTAATCCTTATAAATTTGGTGTTATTTCAGTTATTAGTCATTTTATTTCTATATATGCAAAACAATTTATACAAGATACAGATTTTTTTAGAAACAAAACAAACCTGTATTTTCTTTTGTTGAGGGGTGCCTTTATCATCTTTCTGCATTTTTAGAAAGCATTGTAAATCTCAAAATTTTGGTTTAGAATAAAGATGGGAACTGTAATTAATATGTTGCAACTTTTAATGTTGCAACTTACGTTGCAATTAGTTTTAACCTATATATGTTGCAACTAATTTTAGCTTATGTTGCAACATTTTGTAAATTTGAAATCAATTGCTGTACCATCTTTAGTTTAGAACTTGATGATACTATTACTTCTCATAATTTTAACCCATTTGAATTTTATCTTATTTTTCGATCAAGTTTAATACTCATATTCCTTTACATCCTGCACATCCTCTTTTTCAAGCTGCATAAGTTTGTGATCCTTGGTACCTTGGAAAGAAAAAATTTGTATTGTTATAGTTCAATTAGAGAATTAGTAGATCCTTCTGATTGAATTACTTTGTGAATGGTCAATTTATTGTGAAATACAAGTGGAAAATTTAGTTGGAGAATTTGATTTAGAAGGTTATTGGGTAAATCTTAAAGCTAAATTACCAATTCTTTCAAAAATTGCACTTGATTATATTTGGTTACCTATATCTAGTTGTAGTGTAGAAAGAAGGTTTTCAATTTATAATAATATTTTGGATGATAATCGTCATAACCTTTCAGAAGATTTTTTGAAACAATTAAATATGATGGCGATTGAATTTTTTTTTATCAATAAATTTATTTTTTTTTATTGCCGAAATGATAATAAATATACATATAATATCCGCAGAAATGATAATCATAAGTCGCAGAAAGCAGAGCAGATTTTAAAAATAAGCGAGACCCAATCATAAAGAAATTCAGTCATGCTTTATAACTGGAATTTAGGAAAAAAATACTTTCAAGATTGTTGCAAATATGATTTCAAAACTAGAAGGTCCAGAAGAATTAGAAAGCCCATATTTCAAAATACAAGGCATTCTCGAACCACATAATCTTGTTGAGACGTCTAAAAGAATTTTACAGGCAGTGAATACCAAACCTACGTTAACCTATTCTTACTGTTTAGAAGTAGTATTTGAGGACGACAAAGCCTTCTTTACCTTATGTCTTAACCCAGTTTTGTGGTTCAATGTGTACTTGAGAAAAAAAGGTCTAGAGGCTTCCGTTAGGATTGCGAGAATATACGTCACCAATACCCAGTGGACCGTATCTTATGAAAATTATAAAATTGCATCCTTTGAAGTAGAATACAGTGAAACTGTTAAAAATTCGGCATTTAAATTATGCAAATATGGAAGGTACTGTAGTGATCTTAAATGCGATAAGTTTCTCTTTACAGACAATTTATTTGAAATATCAGTATTCCTATAGCGTTTCCCGCAGATATATAGATTCGTTAACTAATATAGATAATTCTTTAGAGCATGATCATTCAGACGTCATCTGTAAAGGTACTTCAAAAACTCAAGATGAACGTGATATTGTTTGCAATTTCTACGTTCTTGACGATCTTGTGTTATAGGAACGAAAAAACTATTATATAATATACTAACGTGAACCTATTTGTGGCTTATTATTTGTTCTGCATCCTGATGATGATGAGAAAAAAAATTTTAACCATTTTGACAACACGATATTGATCAAAAATCAATTATTCTAGCAGGATTTGTTGAAAGAAAGAGAACATTTGAAATTTAATTCGATTTCGCTCAATTATGGCATGTGGAAAACCAAGCAAGCAAGATCAAAGGACAAATATATACAAAACTGTCATAGCCATATTCATCTTAACTTTGATGATATAAGTTAGGAGAATTTAAAAAATAAGATTTTTGAGGATTATTGTTTTTCTTTATCATTCGTTCGAAGTATGAAATTGATGTTAAACGCTTGAAATTTTCCCGAGCCAAACAATCTTCTTAAAAACTGTCTTGAACTAGAACGTTTTCGGTTAAAAATAGTCGAATCACAGTTGATGGTAGAAAGTTCAACCAAACTTGCAGGAAAGGTGGATAAGGTCATTACAGGTCTTTCTGAAACCAATAAATACTATCTAAGCTTGTTGATTTGTTGACGTTAATAGAACATAGTAATGCAAAAAATGACTAGTATGATTTGTAAATGTTTACCATTTTCAACATTTTCAAATATGATTTTTGCTCTTTCTTTTCTATCGGTTATATTTTTTTATCTACCCCTTTCTCTGTACTTTGAAGGCTACACATGTATATTCTATATGATGAATCCTCGAAAAAAAATATCACATAATAATATGTAATAATATTAACGTTAATATAAAGATTTCCTCATATCATTATTATACCAACTAGTGACGCTATTACATAAACTAATAAAAATCCTGTGTATAATAGGACCAAATATATTAACATGAAACTTAAAATATTATTATTTTAACGATGAGAAAGCTGGTCACATGAAATGATGCGACATAAAACATATATTAACGCTTAGTCCTTTCACAGAAATATTTATTTATTTTACTTCTGCAACCTAATTCAATACATCTATAGCTGTAAACTAACTCAAGGTTGATAGAATATTAGCCGATCAGCAGAATGGTACTCACTAGTCCGAAGCAGTGATGCCAGCTCGGAAGATTTTTGCTTGACCACAAAAAGGCGACAAAAAATAAGACAGGTTTATGCGACATATTAATTTCATCCCCCTCGTTCGGGGTATCTTCAAGACTTTTCTGATACTTTGGTATAATTATCCTTTTTCGAATATAATGAGAAAAAAGTGGTGAATAATGACAACAAAAGTATATGTTGTGAAAGGCTGAGTGAGAACACTGCAATTTCAAGATCTACAAGAGCTAGGTATCTTTGTATGAGGATTCCATTTGCATGTGCTTTCAAAGCTTTCTTGGCATCATACGACAATATTCATACCAGCAAGATATAAAGCATATAGGAATTTGTGGAAGTTCAGCCTAAAAAATTAATTCCTAAAAATAACGCAAAAATAAGGTATATATAAGCCAGAAGTTATGCTTATGCTTTAGCGCTTTTTGGACATGGGAGCGAGTTTTTCTTACCATATGTCTTAAATTTAAGAATTAAAACAAGCTCAGAAAAAAGTCACTTTCAACTGTCTTATCGTTCCTATAGTAAAATTTCATATACTAAAGTAATATAAGCGATTACAATTTTTATATATGCTGAATTTAGAGAATTCAAAGTAATTAAAAGCAGATTGGGAGAACCATTTGATGAAATCCCTCTAAAAATTTGTCAAATCCAACATGGAAATGTTATTTATTAAAAAGCAAATGGATCTGAATTGATCTTATTTCCAAATTTTTACTGAACCTAAAGCAGAGCATTTCCATATCACTGTATACCCCAGTCAGAATAATTTTCTGTATTATGTAATAGCGATATATTCGCAATTTTTTATGTATTAGTTGCTTTGATAATGTTTTTTTATTTTTTAAATAAAGCATATATTATGTTCTTATCATAAATTTTGATAAATATCACGTGTAATGATGTAATATAATCACCTGACAATATCTTTTGTTTCTCTCTAAACATATTTTACTTCAGAAATCAATATCTATAATTAGCTTTACCTGTAATTATACCTTTGGTTGAGTGCATAATTTTTTTATAAGCACAAATACATATATAAAACCATGTCTTTACAATTCTCTACTCCTTTTTCTCTAAACTTAATAATAAAAGAAATTTTCACTAGAATAATATCAGATGTGGTCAAGAATTTTAATACAGCGGATTTTATTGAATATTTGAAAAAGAAAAACTTGAAGCTAGAGGAATTTTAATTTAAAATTTTATATAAAAAGAAACTTTTGGTTTTGTTTTTCTTGGTACAACTAAAGAAGAGTTTTAAAATTATGGCTTGAAAGCTAATCTTATAACAAATACTTGCAAAATTTATTAAAGGTCTCAATCAAAAAAATGTTGTATAAAAATAATATCAATGGGAAGATATAATAAACATCAAGTAGTTTACTTCTAATAGGTAATTAATTAATTTTTCAGAACTGACTAGTTGGCTATATAACCTAATTTTCTTCCTTGCAGTCTTCAAGGATATTAGTGAAAGATGATAAGGTACTCAATCATTGTATGAAGAATATTATCCTAAAACTTTTGAATATAAAAAGTATAATCAATTCCAATAAGACAATGCATTGTGAATTTATTTTAGCAATATTATACACATCAACTATCATAGCCAAAAAACTTATTATTAAGGTATATTTATAGTTTTGCAGAAAGTTATTTTTAGTGATGATGTGATAAGTCAAATAAACTATGCAATCAAAAGTTTAAAAGACCTATTTTGTATCACTAAAGAGAAATCACACAATATTAAGATTAGATATACTTAGGTGAGTCTTATACTTGATTCATATTTTAGAAGTTTTAATAATATTAACACATTTTATTTCTTAGATCTGATGCAACTTAAAAGTGTATTCTAGAAAAAAGAAATCAATTGCAGATTAAGCATTTGAAAATGATTATTTTGACTATATCTATGGTATTATGTAGGGTTAAAGATGGTACAGCAATTGATTTCAAATTTACAAAATGTTGCAACGTAAGCTAAAATTAGTTGCAACATATGTTGC